GCTATGTAATTACCAAGATCTATATCTTTTATTTTAGGTAATTTCTGTGTTTTTACGGCAGGTATAATAGGAGTTGTAGACACTTTTAGATATTTATGAAAAATATTTAATAATATGATTTCTCCATTTTTTTTTATGAATTAAAATTTAATAATAATTTTTATTACATAATATTGTTTTTTATTAAAATAAAATAATTTTTTTATTTACAAATATTAAAGATTATTAAAACTTTTATATATTATTTTTTTAAATTTAATTTTTAATACATATTTTTTTATAAACGAGAAAATTTTTATTTTGTTCATATTTGATTTTAAATAAATATAATAAATCTATTATGTATATTATTTATTAAAAAAAAAACATTTTCAATAAGCTTATTATATAAATATTGACCAAAAATATAAAATATTACTATAAAAAAATAATAAAAACTAATAAAGTAATAATTTTTTTTCTTATACATAAATAAATATTTAACTTTTTTTATTTATAAAATAAGATAGTTATTTTATTTTTATTTTATTATTTTATTTAAATTAATTTCTACAAACAATACATAATGAAAACAATTACATTAAGGTTTAAAAATAAAATTAAAAAACTAGCTATCGATTCTTAACTTAACTATTAAAACTTATTATATTTGATTTAAAATTATTTTAACATAAATGGAAAAATTTTAGGTTTAAAAGATACTTTAGGTAAATATATTTAAAAATAAATAAAAAACATATTTACATATCAAACAAAAAAAGACAATTTTTATAACATTCATTTTTTCTTAATAAATAATATCCTTGATTAAGATGAAATATATCACGTTATTGTTGATTAAAATGAAGCCGATTTAGATTCATAATAATGTAATTAATAGATAAAAATGAAAAAAATAAAAAAATATTTAATTATATATTAATACAAAAAAATAGATTAGTAAAAAAATATGATCACCTACTAAAAATTTTTATATTAAAATAATAATTAAAGCTAAGCCTAGGCATATTCTTAAAATAAAAAGTTAATGTAAAGAAAAAACAATAGTATGCAATTTAAAAGCATTTTAAATCATTCAAATGAATTGTATTTTCATTAACAATAAAATGGTTAATAATAATTTAATACAGAATAATAGAAATCAAGAAATAATTCAAGCTATAAAAATCAAATTAAAACGAATTTTTAACTATCCAATTTCATAACAATCATTAATAACTTTTAAATGATTTAATAATATTTTTTATCTAATTAAGATAATAGATTATGTATTATTGCATTAATTCCGGAATAAACATAATAAATTGTTAGTTAAGTTAATTTAATTGTTTAAAATTACAAAAATGATATAGATTTTTTTGCTTTTCTTTCAGATGATATCGATGAATATGAAGTCAAATAAACTCCTTGTCTTATTTTGTATAAAAATGGCCTAAAAGTGCTTGAAATTTCTTTATAAAATTCACTCAATAGTATATTAAGAATCATTTAAAGATTTTCTGATTCTGCAGGTATTAAATACAATATATAATATAATATAATACGAACATTTTATTATTATTTTTTTTAAAAAAAAGATAAAGATATAGAAAGTTATTAAGAAAACATTCCAGATTAATAAGAAACATTAATGATTTTGAATTAATAATACAATACTTAATAAATATCTTAGTTTGATTATTTCTATTTAAAATGCGAAGTTTTAGAAAATTATTAAAATTTTATAAATTAATATCTAAAAATATTCAAGTTTATTTTATAATTTACAAATATTAAAAATATTTTTATTTTATTTAAAAAGCACTTATTCTTAAAAAAATTACCTAATTTTTTTTAATTTATAATGCAGAAAAAATATTCAATAAAAAGAGTAATAAATTTAAAAAAAAAAATTAAAAAGGTAAAAATAATAAAATAGAATTAGTTAGGTAAATTCTTAAAAATATTAGAAAAACTATATTAAAAGTGGAGAAAATGATGAATAGTTTAATAATAAAGAGGGAATAAAAGTAAATGAATATTTAAAAAAATAAAAAATGAATTTAAATAACGAAATATATGATAAAGTTTAATATGATAGAAATAAAAAAAAGCCATACTTATAATAATAATAATAAAATAATTATAATATATAATAAGATTAAAATATTATTAGTAGTTAAGATTCTTTTGTTTCTTAAATAACTTTATTAGAATTTTTAGAAGAATATATAACTAAATTATAATCAGAAGAATATGGTAAAAACTAAAATAGAATTTGCATAAAAAATAAAATTATAAAATAGGTTTAGCAGTATAACTAGCAAATTAAAAAGATTAAGAAATTATTAATATATTTAAAAATACAATATAAAATGAAGAATAAATTTCTGAAGAAAAAGTATATATATATTTTTATAAAAAAAATATATACTAAATATAAAGCTACTTATTTAAATTAAATAATTAACTCAAAAAAGAATTAGTTAAGAATTGAAATTAAATTTTAATTAAAACTAAATATAATTAATTTAAAATTATAAAGATATAAAAACATCTAATATATTTGCTATATTCTAAGTATATTTAAAAAATTAATATATATATATGTATATATATATATATATATATATTTATTTATTTATTTTTATAAATATAGTAATTTAGAATTGAATGTGATCTTTAATTATTTATAGATAATTTAAAATTCGCATTAATTAATTTTTAAAATTAATTATAATAAGAAACCGAAGAACTTTAAAATTAAAAATAAAAAGGTACTTTTTCTATATCACTATCTCCTATTCAAAATATAATATTTTAAAATGATCAAAATATAAATACTTAAGATACACCCTAAAATAAAACACCTCCTTTATCTAGTTAAAACCTATAAAATAATAATTAATAAGTTTTAAAAGAAGTTAATGATGTTCCTATATCTTCTAATTTTTCAAGAACAATATCAGAACATTATAATTACAAATCAAATTCAGGGACAAAAAAATAAACTTATAACAAAAATACATGTACAAGTATAGCTGAATTTTTTGCAAACAAAAAACATATAACTTCTTAATTAAAAATAGAAACAAATTCCTTGATATCGCCTAGATATATAAAATAAAGTAAAAATTTTGTTATTATATATAATTAATTTAATATTTTATTAAAAGCAATGCAAAGTTAACAAGGAAAGTATAACTAATTAAATAGTTTATCATCTAATAATAGAGGATTATTAGGTAATAAAAGTATTAATTTAATTAGTGTTAATTAAATAAATTGTGAAAATTCTTAATTATTACCCTAAATTTGTACATTGTTTTTTGAAAATGATTTAAATGAAATATTTATTAATGAAATTAGTGATTTCTATAATTAACATTTTTATAATGAAAATGATAAATTTTTTGATGAAATAGTTAAATTGACTACTAATTAAACTAGCATTAAAATCTTAGAAACTTTTAGTATACTTTATTAAGTGGTAATATTTAATTTATTTTGTTTTCATAATTAAATAATATAAATAAATAGAATCATTTAGAAACAAATTAGATAATAAACTAATATAAAAATAATAGAAATATTAATGAAATAAAGAATTAATTACTAAATATAAAGAATATTAAATAATCTAGTTATTCTAAATTAAGTGATGTGAATAAAAAAATTTCTAAATTTAATCTATTTCATAGTATTATTCTCGACTTAGTATAAGAAAATGTAATAAAATAATTCAAACATTTCATTTAATTTAATTATTTTTAGAACTCATAAAATGAAATTAATGAAAAATCTCTTCTATATTTATTTTTATAAGATGATGTTGCAATTTTATCTTGTTTTGAATTCTATTTATTAAATAGTAATTAAAATAAATTTATTTATTTCTAATATTTAAATAATTTAAGAAAACAGATAAGATTTTATAGAAAATCTAAGCTTAGTTATCAAAATAAATTTAGCAAAATATAATTAAGTATATTTTGTTTTTTTATAAATATAATAAAAATTTAAATTCATTATAAAAACATAGAACAAGATATAAATAAACTAATTGGGAAAAAATGTATTTATATAATTATAAATAATCCATGCATATAGAAGATATTTAAGAACATATCAAAAATTTGATTTAGAAAAGTCTATAATGTCAGGAAACGAGCAAATTTTGAATTTAATCAATGAATACGACTCATTTAAAATAAATGAAAAATCTTTTATTGATAGTTTAATTTAAATTGCTTAAAGTAATGATTAATGTAAAGAAAATAAAATTGGTTAGTTTTATATTTTTTTTAATATAAAATTAAAAAAAGAAGATAATTGTTAGTTTTATAAATATAGTTTCCCAAGTTTAGAAGAAAGGGAAATGTTTAAAATTATTATTTAATAATTTAAAGAAAAACTAAAAGAAAGAGAAATCGAAATATTAGAAGTATTTTATAGTTTAATAAACGATGTAAATAAAAGCCTAATGAGCATTTTAGCTGTTTATAATTATACAAAAGATGAAGAAGAGTTTCTTGAAAATATTTCTTTAGTTTATCATTATTAAATATCTAGTAATACAAAATATTAAAATTATATTAATATTTATTTTATAAAAAAGAGGAAATGAAAAACATTATAAAGGAATTTTCTAAAACTATTAATTGGACAGAAAGTTAAGTTTAAACATTAATAGAATAAGTTGATTTGGATAATTAAATACTTATTGCAGCTTTTTATGTTTATAAAAAAAATCAAAAAGATATTGAAGAGAAAAATGACTTAAAAGAAACATTTGATATATTTATAAATATATAAAAATCATAGTAATAATGATAAAAATAAAATATTATATTTATTAAAAAATAAATAATAGTGATTTTATTTATTACATAATATTAATAATTTTATATAATTAAATAGTATAATAAATTATTAAATAATCTTATTTAAAATAAAAAAATTGAATAATATTATAAATAATAAAATACAATGAAAGAATATATAAATTTTAAGTATTTTAATCACCAATTTAAACTACTTTATGTATTTAATTTTTCAATATGTTTAAAAATAATCTTAAAATAAATACTATATCTGTCTTTAAGTAAATCTTGATAAACATATTTAACAGCTAAATTATTTTATTTATTTACAACTTTTTTTTTATTAAGAAGTTCACACATTTTATCAATTAGAGCTTTTTATTTTATATTTTCATCTAAAGATTTTAACTAACCTCCTCCATTCAAACAGCCACTTGGACATGCCAAAATTTCTATATATTAAAATTAGCATTTATTCATTTTAATATTTCTTGTTATATTTTATATATTTCTAAGACCGTAAATTCTAGCAAAATTTAATATTTTTTATCCATTATATTAAATAAAGATTTCCTAAAATAAAATAATATAAGTAAATATTATATATTTTACATTAAAATCGGTGTTTTTTCCTTATTTATTTTAAATTTAATATTAATCAGGTAACAATTAAAATAAATCAAAAGCTGCTCTTCTTATAATATAATCTAAATAATCGTTAGATCCATTGGAATATTCTAAAACTTTAAGTAAAAAGTCGGTATCTTAATTTTATTATGATTATTATTATTATTGCTATATATATTCATCATGCATTAAATAAGTTTCTATATTTGGATTTATATAAAGTTCATTAAATTAATTTTCTGTATATGGAAATAAGTTTGTGAAATCTATCTTTTCCTTATTTTCTATTTTTTTTTGTTCTGTTTTTTTTATTAAATCCATAATTTCTTAAGTTGTTAATACTATATCAACTTCTTTTATTTCTTTTTCTTTTTATTATACATTAATAAAAAAAAGCAAATTCAAAAAAACTTACTTTCGAAATCTCTTCTAGCAGATTCTACTTTTTTATCATAACAAGGCATTATAGTAACAAAAAGAATATCTTAATTATTCTTATTTTTTATAAATTTAAAATTTATATTTATAAATTAAAATAACATATCCTAGTTTTTAAGCAAATAAATCTTTTACTAAACAACCCATTAATTATTAAGGTGATTTTATTTAACTCATGTGTTTTATAATGAATTCCCCAACTGCTTTTTCCGCATACAATGTCCATCCTGGACATTCAGAAGTTATAATTGGTAAACTAACTCTTTATATATTTTTATAAATGCTAATTAAATTTATATATAACTTTATTACTTTTCTTAATATTTTTCAATAAATTCATTATATGCTTATTCTAAAACCAATTAAATAGGAAATCTCATATCAAAAAAATATCTATTAGTCATTATAATTAAAAAAATCTATAATCAAATATATTTAAAAAAAAAAATACTTTGTATTGTAGTTTTATAAAAAGAATTTTGTTAATGCTTTTTAAATGTAAAATTCATCAACTCCAAAATGATAAGCTAAAGAAACCCTACTTTAAGGCGAAATCGAAATAACAGTGTGTTTAAAAGTTTAGCTTTTATTAATAAATTCATCTACACTTTATTATTATTATAAAATAGATTCGGCAGTAGTAACACATCCACTACAGGCTAAACAATCACTTAAAGTAATTTTCGCAGTTTAATTTTACGATTTCTTAATTAAATTTGGAAATTCTTATTAAGTCTTTTTTTTTTTAATAAATAAAAAACATACATTAAAAAATAAAATATAATAAAAATACATTTATAATTGGTTATTTATCCTATATGTTTTATAATTTTTAATTTTTATCCATAAAAGGTAATATACAATCTTATGAAGGGGCTATATAATCATCTAAATTTGTAATTTTTATTGTGCTAGAAAACATTTTTATTTTGTAATTATATTTGAAAATTTTATTATTAAAAAAATAATGCATAATAAATTTATAAACAAAAACTAAAAAAGATTTTATATATATTATTTTATCTTTTTAATTAAAAGTGTTTTTATTTTTTTTCAGGAATATTTCATTACAATTTCTATATTTTTATATTTTTTAAAAAAATAAAGCATAACATCCCACAAAACCTTTCTGATTTCTGATTCTAAATAGCATATTTTATTTTTAAAATTATAAACAATTGCTTATTAACTCTTAAAACAAACGAATAACGCATCTTCATTCGAAAATTGCAACACCAAATAAATTAATTATCTTTAATATAATTCACAAATATTTTAATAAAACTTAATTTTTTACCATTTACACAATCTAACTCATCGTCAACTGAAAGGCATTAATGTTAATTTTTTTTCTCTATTAAATAATTTTATTCTATCAATTCTTTGATAATTAAAAGAATTATTTAATTATATTAACATTTACCTAATTAATAATCATATTTTATAATTAATATTAAATCCTTTGGTTAATAATTAATTAATTTAATAAAGCTATTTAAGTATATACAAATATTATAATTTTATTAATCTAACACATTTAAAGATTTTTTAACTATCCAATATTTGCAAAATAAAATCTTATATAACAGATATAAATAAGTATCTATTATTTAATTTGAAAATAATACATAATAGGTTTTAAATATGTATTATAAAACTTCTGATTATAATATAAGCATGTATTTTAAATATTTGAAGGCAAACATTTTTTTTATAACACTATTATTTAAATTTAATCTATGTTTGTCTAAAAAACTATATACATTCAGTTTTATAAGTCTATTTCAAAATCTATAATTACATATATATGCATATTAAGTATTAATAATTGATATAAAGGGTATTTGCTATATTAACAAAAATTATGATAGTATTAGTAAGATTAGAATTAATATATATTATCTAGATTTTTATTTTGTGATATTTATATTTTTATTATTATAATATTCATTTTTTTATTTCTTATAAAATTAAATAGATAAAAAATAATTAATTAAAGAATTATATAATTAAAATTTAACTTTGTTTAAGATTATGATGACCATTTTTAAATTATATAATAAATAGATTTTATTAATAAATTTTTGTATATATAAATTTATATTTATTTCATAAGAGCTAAAAGCAATATATACTTTTTAATAGAATTAATTCTAAAAAAACAATTGAATATATTGTTAAAACAAAATAAAACATATAATATTAAAAATAGTTATAATTAAAAGAAAATGCAAATTTAAATTATAAATAAAGTAATAAAAAAATATATCGTTATAAAATGTTCATAAAAAATTAAACACAAGCAGATATCAAAAAATTAATTAATTTAACTAATTTTAATAAAAAAAAAAAAAAAAACAACTAAATTTTTTTAATGTAATCAGATTTTTTTCAATTAAATATTGAAGAATTAGAAAGATAAATAGAATCAGAGCTAAACTCACTATAATAAAATGAAAGTGTAATGATATGTAATAAGTTATTTAAAAAAAGTAATTAAATAAATGAAAAGAATAATAAAATAAGTGAGCAAAGTTCCTAAATAATAAAAAAACACCAAACATAAGATCAAATAAATAGCAAACAATAATAAGTAATTAAAAATTCCTAAATAAAATAAATAAAAAGTATATAATCTAATCAAAATCATTTCCAAAATTAAACATCTTAAATTAAAAAAATTTAAGAAAAAAAACGACTCGAAAACAAAGAAAATTAAATACCACAAACGCATCATTATTTAAAAAACCATAAAAAATGTTAACTTAATATTTTCAATAAAAAACCAAAAGAGAAATCCTTCTCACAAATTCCCATATAAGAAAACCTTAAATAAAATAAAATTTCTTTCGATTTATAAAATCCATTTGAATACCAAAATGAAACTCAAGAAACTAACAATGTAATATATTCAACTGATTATGAAAAAATAAGAAACCTAATAAGCATGAATCTAAATAATAATAATTCGAATATTAATAGAGATTCTAAAAATAATATTTCTAATATAAATTCTAATAATTTTTCTAATATAAACATTAATAACAGTAATTATAATAATACAAATATAAATTCTTAAAAAGTTTCTAAATCTTACAGGTCAAGTACTTTTTTTAATGAAGGAAATGAATCTCCATGTACTTTTAAACCTATGTTAAGTAAAAAATCAATGCTAATTGCTTAGAACATGGTGGATTCAATTACAAGATTAACATACTAGTCAAAATAAAAAAATAAGAAAAAATAAACAAACTTAAAAAAGAGTAAGAAAGTCAATATTCATTTAAACCAAAAACAAATAAGAGTAATTTATCTATTTATTAAATAATGAAAAACCAAGATGGGAATAATTATATGAATAACATAAATAATTGAAGATTCAATAATAAATAAAAACCCTTTAAAAATAAAAAGAAGATTTATATAATCCTGAGCTTACTTTTAAACCCAAAATATTTAATAATAGAGAATATTCATATGTTTATTTAGAAAAAGAATATAATATAGCCGAAAGAAACAACTTATGGGTAAAAAGAAGAGACGAAAAATTAAAAAAAGTAGCTGAATAATATGAAAATGAAGATTTAAAAGGATGCACTTTCAAACCAAGACTTTAAAATATGAACCCTCAATAATTTAGCTAGTTTTAGTAATAAGATGGATTATAAAAGGAATATTTTGAAGAGTAATTAAGCGAATTCAAAAAGAAAGGAATTATTGAGTTTTTCGAAAGAATCGATGCTGCTAAAAAAAAGAAAAATGAAAATTAATAAAAAGTAAATGGAGAAAAATGGGTCAATAAAGTTACTATCCCAAAAGAGTTTTCGTTTATGAAAAAAATTAATTTGAATAAAAAATATTTTGGCGAAGAAAATAAATGTTTTGATAATAAAATTGTTTCATCATAAAAAACTAGGAGCAAAAGTACAAATAATTTAGGCTTAATAAATTAAAATGAAAATTAATTTTATTATGATTGTCTTTAGAATACGAATAAAAATGATTTAAATGAAATTAAAAGTAAACTACATTAACATTTACATCAAATTGATATTTGATTTAAAAAAAATTTAAAAAAGATGAAAATTAAAAAAAAAAAAAAATCATATATATATATATATATATATATATATATATATATATATATATATATATATATATATATATTATATTATATATTATAAGTCTTTTATAATTATTTATAAAATTATAATATTTTTTATTATTTTTTCTTACTTATAAATTTTTTTAAATTAAAATTTAAAATTATTTATAAAATATTTTTATTTATCATTAATCAATTTATATATATTTAAATAAGAAACCAATAAGAAAGATATTAATAAATCCAAAAATAAAAAAATAATATAAATAATTAAATAAATGTTAAAAGGGGTACAAAAAAATAAAATTAAAATAAAAAAAAAAATTTACACTATAAATAAAAGAAAAACTCATAATAAAAAAAAAAAAAAAAATTAAAAAAATATAAAACAAAAAATAAAAAAAAAAAAAAAAATTAAAAAAAAAAATGGACTAAAAATAACAAGAAGACAAACTTCAAACCCAAAAATCAGACGAAGGCTGTATATTCTAATCTGAATACAAAGAAATAGCTGACTATAACAACATCGAAAAATTAAGTGAAGAATTCCCCTCTTTAAAAAGATTAAACAACCCCTGAAATTTAGAAGAGTTAGAAAACGTCTAATTTTTCTTAATAAAAAGTTTTAACGAAGACCATGTTCATAAAGCAATTAAATACGGCGTTTGGACTTCCACATTGAAAAACTGCGAAATATTAAGCCGAGCATATTAAGAAGCTTAAAAATTGAATTAAGAAATATACATATTTTTTTCAGTTAGTAACACTTAAAAATTCTGCGGAGTAGCAGAATTAAAGAGCGAATTTGACCAATCTTAATCCTTTTAATTATGGAATGACGAATTTAGGTGGTTCGGAGTATTCAGGATTGAATGGGTGTATATTTTGGATGTGTAAAATGTAAAATTTTAACATATAAAAGAGAAAATATAAAATTAACAATAAGAAAATAAAACTAAGTCTGTAGTTGATATGGGCGATTGTGCAAAAATATCAACCAAAAGTGGCAAAATGATGCTTAATGTTTTTAAATAAAGTGAAAAAACATCTTCTTTATTATAGAATTTTAAACATTATGATACTTTGGAAAAATAACTAAGATAAAAAAGAGAAAATAATCCAGAATTCATAACAAAATTTATATAAGCTCATAAAAAATTTTAATAAAATCCTTTCTAGTAAAAACATAATAACCATAATGATGGAAATAATTAACAATCACATTATAATTATCATAATAATAAATATAAAAAATAAAACTATTATTAAAATTATTTTCCTTAAAATTAATTTAATTATTAATAATAACCTAATTTTAATTTACCCTTTAATAATTTCCCTAATTATCCTCCTGTAGATTTTAACTTCTAATTTAATCCAGAACTTTTGTAAAATATGCCCTTTCCTCCACCTCTATTTGATTTTAATGAATTAAATTAAGATATCTTAAATATTTAAATGTAAAATTTATCACTCTAGCCTTTAAAAATGGACTAATAATAATAAAATATGCTTTTAAATAATATGAATTAGATAAATATAAATTATAATTATAATAATCCTGATATTTATCCTCCTATTATGGAATAAAAAACGACAGAAAATATAATAATTACAAAAAACCTTAATTTAAGAAAAATTATAAAAATCAAATGAACAAAACTAGGATAACAAAAATATTCAAGTATCTAATAATAATGAATAATTAAAAAAATAAAATAATAACAATTGATTTTTTTTTATAAAAAATATTAATAATAATAAATTATATGTATAATTATTTATGTTTTTATTCTACATTTTAGCTTATTTTATATTTTTTGTTTAAAAAAATGATATTTATTTGCTAATATTGTTTTTATTATTAAATTTTTATTTATATAATCTATAAAAAAAAGAAGAGATCTAAAAAAATACATAATTGTCTTTTATTATAAAATTTAAAATAATGATATAAAAAAAAAAAGCATTAATAATAAGTAATATTTAAAATAAAAATAAATATATAATTATAAATATAAATATAAATATATATATATATTTAAAAATTATTATATATATATATATATATTATAAAATATAAATATTTTTAAATATATTTTAAATTTTAAATTTTAAATATTTATTATATAATTAATATTTTTTTAAAAAAATATTATAATATGATTATTTTTTTATTTTTATTTTTATATTTATTTTAATTTATTTTTTTAATATTTTAAACTTTTTATCTTATTATTAATATATTTTTAAAATATTAAACATATATTAGAATTTAATAAGAATAAAAATAACTAAAATATATAATAAAATAAAAAATATATTATTTTTATGAAAATATTTTAAAATCTTTAATTAATATATTATTATATATAAATATATATATATATATTCCATTAATATTTCAAATATATATTTTTAAATAAAATTTATGTTTTTTTTATAATATATATATTTATAAATTAAATAATTAATTTTGTTAATAAAAACATAAATATAATATATTTCAATTTATTTATTTAATGAATTTAAAGTTAAGATAACGTCTTCAACAATTTATTCGAAAATTAAATCAGCCAATTCCATACCAATTTCGGTTTTTTCATCTTCATAAAGTTACCATTTATATTCGTTCTCTAATATCTATATTAAAGGAAATATAAATTTTATAAATATAATTATATATATATAAACATCAGTTAGTAGCATTTTAGATAATTTTTCTTCTCTAATTTAAGCCAAATATTCATTTTTAGTGTTTAAATTTTCCAATATAAACCTTAAAGATGCTTATTTACCATTTTCATTCATATAAGGAATTTTATTTTAAGATTCTTCCTCATTTATAAGCCCACAAAGGAAAGAACTCCATTCTAAAACTTTAGATTTACATTTATCGATTACATTTTTCATATTGCATTCACTTACTTTTGTAAAATGTAGACTTTTTTCTTATTTTGTCCATATATAAGGTTATCCTCCCAAAGCATAGAAAGGTCTAAATGAATTCAAAGCTTCATTAAAACTATCAAAAATTGCTTTATTATGAATATGTTCGAATTCTTTTATTATTTATTATTTTTCACTGATTCCATTTCCCTTTTTTTATAAAAAAAAAAAAAAAAAAAAAATTAAAAAAAAAATAGAAAAAAATTAATTACTATAATAACTTATTCAAAATCAATATATATTTCTTCACTTAATACAAAAGGAAGTGTATTACAATCTTCTTAAAGACTTTAAGTAAAATCCTAATCTTCACTACAGGAATTATCAATGAAAGAATCATAACCGTGTATAAGTTTTAATCTTTTTTAAGGTGAAAAACCAAAAGGATTATTAATATTATTCAAAAAATTATTTTTATTCGAATCTAATTATTAAAATAATTTTTTTTTTATTTATTTGTAATTTTTTAATAATATATGTAATATATATACTTGTTTTTTACCGCAGATATATTAAAAAAGCTTAGTAATGTATTATTAAATAGTGTACATATTAGTACATATGCCGAAATTTTCTGATTTATCGAAAAGTTCAATTTTATTTAATTATTCTTTCATACGTTATTCTATTTAAAAAAGTATTTTCCATCTTTCTGAAAGTTCAATTATAATACCATTTTTTTCCTTTTAAATAAACATAATACCAATACTATTAATATAATATATTATGTTTTACATGAAAATAGTTTTCTGTATTTTTTTCATTTTTATTATTTTCTTCATTTTTAATTTATAAATCTTAGTTATCTTATTTCTATATAATAATAGATTAATTTTCTAAATTTTCGTTTTTTTTTATTCATATATATTTCCATTATTTATTTATTACTATTTATTTATTTCTTCATTTTATTAAACTAATAATTCATTATTTTATTATTTCTATTCTATAATTTCATCTATTTGAATATCTTATTTTATTTCTTCACTTTCCTATTTATTAATTAATTTAATATTTTTATTATTATTCGCATCATTATTGTTGTTTGCTTCCTTCGCCAAATATTTAAAAACATAAGAATTCGACAAATAATCACTATAATTATCCGAATAATCAGATTTATTAGATGTATTATCCTCTTTTTTTTACTATAATATTCTTCTTGTGAAGTAATACTGCTTTTTGAATAAAACTTCGACGCAGGATTTTATTTATATTTCTAAGCAGCTAAAATATCCCTTTAAGTTCTTTTTAAACTCTAAGTGACTTTCAAAAGTCCTATTTATAAGACTTTACGAGTTTTAACAATATCTTCTTTTTCTTTATTTACCCATCCTTCAAATACTTTTTTGTTATTTTTATAAGTTATTGGGGAAAACAATTTATTTGTAAGCATTTTATTCATAGCATTAATCTATTTATTTTTAATTTTTTTTTTTTAAAAAAAAATAATATATTAATTACTTATGATTAACATCTAAGTTCTAAAGCTTATTCTCTTAATCTGAGAATTTCATTAATTTTATCTTCACTAAGTAATTTTTTAAGTTTTCTTTCAGTAAAATTTTAAAAATATTATGAATCAATAAGATTTTATTTTAATAAAAAGTCACTTTTATTATCTATAATTGAATCTTTATTCGATTAAAATTCGTCAATAAGATTTATTAATTATTTTTTATATATTTATTCTTCAAAAATTTTATCTTATATTTTAAATTAATTTTCTAAAAAATTTTCATTTTTATCAAATAAAGGTTTATCTTATAAAATTTTATCAATTTTCGAAAAAGGCATAGTTTTTTAAGGACTTAAAAATTTATAATTTTTTATTTTCTCATTAAAAGAACATTCTGATTTTGCTTCATATTTAGCAGAATGAAAAAATTCATCTTTTCGATAATATTGATTTTAAAAATCCTCTTTAAGTTTAGTTTTTTATATTTCTATTTATTATATTTATTTTTCTTTTGTATTGATTTCATTTTATTTTAAATCTAATTTGTTTTTTATTCAAAAAATTAATTCTCTTTCTATGCATGTTAAATTTCGTTTTACTATTATTAATTTTCTTTATACAAAATTATTTAAACATTATTATTAATAGTTTCTGCTTATTCTTATATTCCTTAATTTTAATTTTTATTTTAATTTTAATTTTAATTTTAATTTTAATTTTAATTTTAATTTTAATTTTAATTTTTATTTTTATTATTATTATTAATATTATTATTATTATTAATATTATTATTATCATCATTATATTTTTTTTTATTCAACTTATTTTAATTTAATATATTTTTAATTTATTTTAAAAAGTCCGTAAATGAATTATCTTTATTTTAAATATTTTATATATTATCTATTTATTTTTTATCATTTTTACTATTATCAACATTATTCTTATCTTTTATTTTATTTTCAATTATATCATTCTTATTTTTAAAATTTTTTTTTTTGCAAAATATCCTCTCCATATTTTTTATATTAAAATACAAGCATTATTTAATATAGTATAAACTTTTTTTGAATTTTTATTAATATTATTATTTTGTTATGAAGAATCTTAATTATTATGAATATTTTAAAATAAACTATTTATTTTAATTTTATTTTTATCCAATCTTGATAACCTAAATTATTCTAAAAATTTAGATTATAAAATTTTATTATTATTCAAAATTTTAGTTAAAATTTAACTTTTATTTAGTTTCTGTTTTTTATCTTAAACATTATCTTAAAATATTTCTTATAAATTTTTTGTCTTTTATAAATCTTTTATTCTTTTTTATTTTAAAAAAATATTAATTTAATATTTTTTTACCATTAATATTATTATTATATTTATAATTTTGATTTTTCAATTTTTTTTGAATATAATTTTAAATACAATTTTAAATTCTTTCTTAATTAGAACCCCAGGGTAATCGTTTTTTTATATTTTCTATAGATTTTGTTTATTTATTTTTATTATTTAATCTTATCTATAAATTAATATTTTAATTTTTCGCATTTTTTTATTATTTTTAAAATTCTTCTTTTTTCTTTTCTATTTATTTTTTGCAATATTCCAATTAAGCCTTTTTTAAATTTTCGCATAATATTTTTTCGTTCTATTCGTTTGAAATTTTTCTTGTAGTAGATGAGCTTTTATTTTAATTTTTTTTTTTTCTTCTTAAACGATTTTCATTTTAAGGCGAAATAAAAAGTTTTACATTTTATTTTTTTAAAATTTCACTCTATTAAGTACAATTTTTTTCTTTACTTCTATTTTATTGAATTTTCTCTTCACTTTTGCTAAAATTTATCTTTTTTTTTTTATCATAATTCACTTTATTTTATAATGATTATTTTTTATAAAAACCGCTTTCAGTGTTATTTGTGTGTAAATTTTATTAACTATAATTACTTTTTCGTCCTAATTATAATTCTTTTAAAGTTCCTTTTATTACATGATATTTGTTTTATTTCTATTCCTAACTCAAATCTTACTAATAATTATTCTTAGGAGATATAAAATCCTTTTATTTATTTTATTAAACATTTAATTAACTTAAAGGTTTACTTTAAGGAAGTCGCATTTATTATTAAAGGGTACTTTATGATTTATTTTTAATTAATTTTTTGAATTTTTTCTATTAATCTCCTTGTTATTTTATTTAGTAATCATTCTAAGATATTGTGTTTTATGATTAAATACGACTTTTTCTTATTTGTGTATTTATTATGGATGGAACTCCTAAATTAAATAAAGATTAATTATTTTCATTTTATTAAAATTATTTGATTTTAGCAGTTTCAGGACCTTTTTTAATAATTTGAATTTACAAAGGAAATTTTTCCTTGATAAAATTTTTATTTGGTAGCTTTATTTTGACTTGATTTTAGTTTATTTTTCTACCTAATATGTTTATATCATTTTTTCTTTTTTTAGTTTTTTTATTTTAAATAATATTTATATACATTGAATCTGCTATTGTTAAAGATCTTTAAGGAGATAAGTATGTGTTTAAATTGCTTTAATTATTATTATTATTATTCATTTAAATTCTTTATAATTATTAGTATACAATTTTATTATTTTTTATTTTTATTTTTTTGACTTTAAAAAATAATTAAAAAAGTAAACAAACTATATTTTTTTGTTATGTGTATTTATCATTTGTTTGATAATTTTATTTTTTTTATATAAAAAAATAAATCATTAAAATTAAAATTCGTTAAATTGTATTTTTTTTTTTTTTTTTTTTTTAAAAAAAAAAAATTAATTTAAAATTAATATAATTTAATTTTTTAAAAATATATATATTAAAAAAATAAATAAATATTTTTTTAAAAAATAATTTATATTTCAATATAATATTTAAATTTATTTTTTAAAATTGATAAATTTTCACAATATAAATTTATTTTTTACTATTCTATATTTAAATAATTTTGATTTATAAATATATTTCATAATTTTAAAAATATTAGTAAATAAAAAAATTTTATTTATATAAAAATATGAAAAATTTGATAGTTTATGTAAAAAAAAAATTATATACATATATTAAGTAAACTTAAAAAACATGTTTTTAATAATCTCTATAAACAATAAAAAATTAAATTTTTAATTAGAATTTATTATCTATAAATCTTTTTTTTATAAAATAAAAAATAAAAAAAGATATAAAAGATAAATTTATTTTAATACTTGTTAATAATTTATTTTGTAAGAAAATATAAAAAACAAATGAAAAGAATATTAATTTAAAATAAATATTATTTAATTAATATGCATTTAATATATATTTTTTTTAAAATATTAATTAATTATTTATAAATCAAAATAAATAAAATAAGGATATAAATATATTTTTAGTTATAATTATATTCAAATGCTATACTTCTTGTAAAGAAATACAAATATTATTTATACCACTATAAATAAAATTCTTTATTTCAAATAAATTATTTTATTAAAATAAATAATATTTTAATCGATCAATCATTGACTATACTCATAACTTACTAAGTTAATTATTACGGATATTTTGCACCCAAATACTTTATATTAACATAAACATTTGCCAAACAAAGAGCTTTTGTATGATCATTTAACTTTTACATTGCTTTAAAATAAAAATGTTTCCTTTCATTATATTAAGAAAGTACTTCTCCTTATTTTTAATGTAAATTATTAAAAATATTTTCTGACATATTTTTAATTTTATATATTTGTTTTGTATTAATATATATATAAAATATTTAATCATTATTAGTTTTATTTTTAAGAAAATTAAAACAAATAAAAAGTCATTTTAGGTTATTATATAAATCTTTATTTAAAAATAAATCATTATATGCCTTAATAATATTCCCAAAAGCCTAAAATTAATCTTTCGCACGTTTTTTTTCAAAAAAATAAGAACAATTATATTCTACACAAGGAACATCTTCAACATTTTAAAAAGAAAAAGAAGAACAATTTAGGCATCTTTTTTCATTTTAAATTAAATCTTATTTTAGCAATTTAATTTTATTTTCAATTAAAAAACTACAATTTCTTTCATTTTTTTAACAATTTTTACAAATTTATTCTTTACTATAATTTTAGCAAATTACACAATTCTAAATATTATAAAAATCTAGTACTTTTTACTCATTTATAATATTTTTTTTAGTAATTCCTTTTGGTATTTATTCTAACCAATCCTAAATAAATGATATATATATATATATTTAAATAATATGAAATACATTAATATCAATATTCATAGTAGCCAAAACTCTTCCAACAGCCGCATTTATTTAATGCTTAATATAATAAAACGAATTAAGTGAATATTTATGTTTATTATTAACAAACTCCTACACACTAACAACCAAGTCTCTAATTTTGGCTTTAAAATCTCCCCTAACTACCAAATACTAGACCCTTTAACCATATTTTGGTTTATCCATTTTATCCATTTGCATATTTTTTAAACCCACGACTGCATGCGGTGGCTTATTATCTCCATATTTACCTAGTTTAACTTCCTTAGCAATCACAAAATCCTTAAAATTGATCTAATTATTCAACACTTTGCTCCATTAATTAACCAAATAGCTCTTCAATAAACTCAAATTTTTACTCTCAAACAAAATATACATACATTCTCTCAAAATCTTCTACACACTCTCACACCCATCTCTCCTTACAAGTTCCATTCCTTTACAATCCAATACTTTATTTTAAAAATTTTCCTAAACTTTAAACCCTACATAGTGTTTTTTAGAACAAATGACCAACTCTGAATAAACTTTTTCAAATTTCAACTCTATAGGATAAGGGAAAACCTTCGAAATTTCACTTGCAATTTCTTCTCCCAAAAAATGGCTTTCTTTCGGATTCCTCCCTTTACAAATTACAAAAACAGAATCAGTATCTCCATAAACCACTTTTGCATTCCATTTCGAATTCGAGTTAATTTTCCTTATAACTTCTTATAGAATATACTTCCCAGTATCCACTATTGAATCAGCTAAATCGTTACATGGCATTCTTCCTGAAAAAGAAGCACCGGCGTATCCATAAACTACATTCATGAAATTTTTTATAGATTGTTATCTAGCTTGTAATAATTTGCTTATGTATTCATTTTTTTTGTAATATTTTGCAGACTCTTTTATCATTATTCTTGAGAGTAAAAACTCGTGCAAAATTTAAGGTAAAACTCCTTAGCGAACGCTTTTCTTTACAAACGCTACTTCATTAGGGGAAATAAATAGCTTTTCTTCTATCTACTTAAGTGAATTGAGTTAAAAATCGTAGTTTCTGATCACTCCAAGTCTTTTTTTTCCTTCTTCGGTATATAGTTCATTTATATTACCTAAACATGTAGAATAACAATAGTTATAAGCTATTATTATTGAAGGATATAATGATTAAAAATCTAAAACTATTATAGGACTTTTAAAAAAATAAATATATAAATATTAATATTGTTATTACTCAACATAGAAACTTTTTTAAGGTTATAAAACCAAAGGAGTACATTCAAGTATTTTTTAGGCCGACACTTATTATTTGCTAGCAGATAAAAGTAGAAAACCTATTTATTTGCAAACTCTATTTAAAACACCTTCTACAATAAATTAAGTACCTCTAGTTAACTTATAAATATATTAAATAAAAATATATATATAATATAAATATATATATATATATATATATATATTTATATATATATATATATTTATTTTTATATATATATATTTTTATGTTAATAAAAAATTACAATACTTTCGAAATCACATCCATATAATCTAGCTGAAGCTGTAGTTCTTTAAATTGTATCCATTTTTTCTAAAATCTATTAAATACATTAAACTCTGTTTAAAAAATAGTTCAATACAATAGACTTTTCTTACATATTAAACCAAAAAGAAAGCTTAGAATTAGAAAATACTGGATTTTTAATTCCAAATAGTTCATAATATACATTCTATAAATCATAATTAGTGAATTTAAATTCTTCTTTAGCTACTCTCCATGTATTTAAAATCATTCTTCCTTTAATATTCGTATTATCATTTTAAGTTTTATATTTAGGATTTATAATACCTCCAATACTATTTTAAGAATTAGACTTTTGTAAAAAATCAACTTATTTTTATTTTACTAATTTATTGCTCTAAAACTTGCTTAAGTTTTCCTCATTTTCATCATTACTGCTACTATTAATTGCATTTGAACTATTATCTAGACTATTTATACTATTACTTATACTCAAATTTTAGTTTGAGAATATTTACTCTTTTTAGTTTTAAGATAAAAATTCACTTTATTATAAAACATTTAACAAATCAATTATATTAGAAGGGCATCGGCTTAAATAGTCAGATATTTATATACCTAAAGTTTCACATCTTTAAATTATGTAACCTAAAGATTATTATTCAGTATCCCATCCACAAAGTATGTCAGGATCGATTTTTTAAACTATTAGTATTAACAATTTTATTAAGTCAGTTTCTGATCGTACTATAAGTATTTCACTTATTGATTCATTTATTTCTATATATATATATAAGTATTACTTTTTAACATTTTTTATTTTTTCTGTAATTTTTTTTTTAAAAAAAATGTATTTATATTTTTTTTATTTGATTATGTTTTTTTTTTTTCAAAAAAAAAAATTACAGAAAAAAAAAATATTTTTGATTTTTTTTACTATAAAATGTATTTAAATTGATTTAAGGATTTTCTTTTATATATTTATAATTTTATTCATCCTACATAATGACTCCTTAAGCTTTTTTTAATTTTATAAAAATTTAATTGATAAAAAAAAGCGTGATATGTTTACTTTATTAAAAATTATGTTTTTAATTTTAAACAGAAAAAATAATCAAAAATATTTGATCATTTTAAGGGTTTGGTAATTTTTTAGGAAAACTTTTTGCAAAACATTCTAAAAACATAACAGTGATATCGCCAACAAAAGAATTTTCATTTCTAATATAATAAAATAAAGTTTTTTATCAAAAAAATTAAAATAAATATACTAATTTATATTTTCATTTTTCATGCTTTTTTTTTAAGAAATCCTATTATTTTTCCAAGGAGATATAATATTATTCAAAGCTTTTTTACTATTTTTTTATTTTTCTTAAATATCATAACATATTTTATCTAAAGAAGGAGGTTTTTATAAATAATTAAAACTTTTTTTTGTATTAATATTATTTATAAATTAATTTCCATAATCTTAAGAAGTATATACTCGTGTAAATTTAGGCAATTTAAGTATATTTTTTATATCAATTATATAATCTTTGCCTTATTTTTCATTTAACAAACTTAAGATTTAAGCCTGAAATAACAAAGGGATATCTTCTTTATTTTATTTTATACCATAATGAGAAAAAAAATCTTTAATATTTTCAAAATAAGCACTTTTATTTTTTATTTTTCTCTAATTTTTTATTAATAAAAATTATTTTTTTACTATTATTTTATGTCACTTCTAGTATTTTTATTAATGCTTTAAAATGTTGTTTTTAACAAAGGAGATTTCTATTTATAGATATAAAAATTTTAAATTGGTTTAGTTTTATTTTATTTAATAAAAAATTTGGAATTTTAATAATTAATTTTATCATTTATAAAATGGCATTTACAAAAAGGAATTAATTATTGACAATTATAACAAAAATCCTATAAATATTACTTTATTGACTACTTAGAATTAGTATTATTTATTAAAATATTTTTGTTTTAATTTTCATTTAAAATATTTAAAACATCTTTCATATTTTCCTCATCTTATTCATCCTATTAATTAAATAAATTATTTACTTTTTATTAATATTTATTTTTATTTTATTTAATTAAAATTTATAAAATCTCTTATTTTCGATTTTTATATTCTTAAAATTTATCTTTTTGTTTTTTTTGTTTTAAAAAATAAATAAATAAATAAAATAATTTAAATAAAAGAATAAAATTTTTATACTTTAAAAATTAATTTTGATAATATTTTACTCATTTTATTTTGAATTAATAAAGCATTCAATACTCTAAAAAGGCATATAAATTCCATTTTTTTATTACTTAGCCTTAAATTAAGCTAACCTTTATAATTTGAACCTAACTTAATCATTTTTAAACATTTAATTAACAATATCATCCACTTATATCATTATTTATTTATTTTCAAAAACATTTAATTTTTATTCTATTTTAAAAATTTATCTTCTTTTTTATTCGTCTTCCCATAAATCATTTATTGCTTGAGAAAAAACAAATTTTTATAGATCCCCATTTTCTTCTATAAAATCCAAAATATTAATAATATTGTTATATTCAACATCGGCTTCAATATAGCAAGTAGATTTTTTTATTTAATTTGAAAAAATATTATTTTCTGAAAAATCAACTTTTAAATTAACTTATTAATTTTCTATTTAACCTACAACCTTATTTCTTTACATTAAACTAACTTTTATTTTCTCAAAACAATCAACTTCATACTCTTAGCAATTTATTCTAAACTTAAAATTCATTACTGTTATTTCTTTCATTCCAAAAATACAATTATCACTATAAAAATGCATGAAAAAGGTCAAATGTCCCTCATATATTTAATATTTAATATTATTTAAAGCCCCATTAGTTAATATTTCTTATATTTTTTTATTATGCGAAGGATTTATATATAATATCTTTAAAAAAGATTATTCTTTTTTGTAAAAACCATATATATCTTTCCTTTTAACATGCTCTATACTTTTAATTCCTTATTTTATATTTAATAATTTGTCCAAAATTTCATCTAATTATTAACCAAATTATATCAGATAATCATCTTTTTTATATATTTTTTTTTATTTTTTTTAATAAAAGAAAAAAAATATTTTACTTTAAATATAAAATAAATACTGTTTTTTTCCAATATTTCTTCTAAATTTTCTAATTTAATATAAAAATAGGGAAAATACTTTTTATTAAAAATTAAAACATATTTATATAAATAATAATTATACTTTGTGTATATTCAAACAACATTTTTACCCATATTTATTAGCTCCAAATAAACGTATAATTGGAACTTATTTTATTTTATTTCCTTTATAATTAGTTAATTCTTTATAAAATGGAAAATCATTAAAAAATTATTATGAATATTGTGATTGATATATTGGCAAATCTTGCATATAATAATCATGCGAAAAAACTACTATATTTAAAAAGTTTAATTTTTGAGAGTTTTAAATATTTTTCATATTAATATTAAATATGTTTATTATTTTATTTTTATAAAAATATAATTAAGATTTATATTTTCATAAATTAAATTAAAGCGAAATTAGTTTAAAAATAAGAAAAAAAAATATAATTATATAAATATATATATATAAGTAATTTTAATACAAAAAAATAAAAACTTAAAGAAATAAATAAATTTTAAATAAAATTACATAAATATATATTCATTATAATTAAAACTCAAAACTTATTTTATATTAATCTAGTATAGATTTTAAAACTTTCATATTATTAAGATTTTCTTCTATTAACTTTTACTTTCTAAAATCTGACTTACTCATAGTTTTCTAATTTAATTAATCAACTTATTTTTCGATTCTCCCTAATAAAATATTCATATAAGTTTCAAAGTCTAAATTATTCAAAAGTTCACTCAAACTTTCAATTTCTTTCTAATAATTAATAATTTAAAGTCCTAATTAATTCATAGATTAAATTTTACTAATATTGATACTATCTTATTAATTATTTTCCTATTTTTTAATCATAGATTACTTACTATTTTGAATATTTAAAAGTTCCTATTATTATTTATTTGCGATTTATTAAACTTTTTAAATTTCTAATTCATAAGATTAAATATTTTTAGTTTATTCATCAACTTTTGATTTTAATTTATTATTTTCTTAACTAATTTAATTATTAATAGTTTTTTAATTTTCCAAGTCTTTTTTTACTTAATTATAAAGATTTTATAAAGATTAATCATTATTATGAAGATTCTAATATTATTACTATAAATTTTAATATTATTATTATAAACTTTATTTTTCTAATTATAATAAAGAAACTCCTTAATTATTTTAAACTTTAGGTTCTTATTAAAATTATTATTATTATAATAATAATCTATTATTAATAATTTTTATTTCTTCTTCTCTTTATTATATAGTTTTTAACTAATCTTCTATTTATTATTATTAAAGTTTGCTCTTCTCTTCCAATTCCCTGTGTTACCTTAATAAAATTTAGTAATTTGTATTCATTTCCTCATAATCTTATAAACTAAGCACGCAATCATATTATTCATCTAGTTTTTATGTATCGCTAAGCTAATATTGCATTTAAGGCTATTAAACGGCAGGTGGTTAAACAGGTTATTAGACAGATTACTTGGCAGATTATTATATTTTAGATTACTAATCCTATTTACATTATTCAACAAAAATATAGCTTTTTTCTTCCATTTGTATATTGATATTTTTTTTATGTGTAAAAATTATTTAATATAAATTTTTTAATAGAAATAAAAATCTTATAATATTTTTTCTGATATGTATTTTTTTTATAGAAATGTTAATAAAAAATTAATATATAATACTTATAATAAAAATACTGATATCATAATAAAATAAAAAATAACATATAGTTAAGTAAATATAAAAAGAAGTAAAAATAAAGATATATAATGAAATTAATTTATTATAAATAAAATATAAAAATGTTCATAAAAAATATATAATAATTTTTAGTAATAAATACAAAAAAAATAAAATAATAAATTATCATTAACTCACGAAATTTCAACCTTTTAATTTAATTTGATAAAGTTTTATTTTTTTACTTTTGTTTAATAACATTTACTTTATTTTTACTAACAAGCTGTTGATTTTTTGGAAATAAAATAAGTAAACTCTTTATTGTTTCTCAAAAATTTCTCGATTTATTCATTAAAAATTTCTTATGATTCGATATAATGTAAAAATATATTATATTTATTAATTTTATCCTTAATTTAATTTTTCTCGAATTTCTCTTAAAATCCGTGTGGTAATTTAGGAGTAAGAAAATTCAATTCTTTTAATTTCTAGTTTAAATATTTGAATTCTTGATGAGTTCTTGCTGTTTTATATAATTTTTTATTTTTTTCATATAATATAACATACAAAATCATATTGTTTTTTATTTAATATCCATCTACTTTAAAATTTCTAAAAACGATTGCTTCAGGAATCTAAGAAGTCTAAAAATCTTCATTATGTATATTTTAAACTATATTTTAATTTTAAAAATAACTTTAAACATTATATGAAAATTCAGGAGTTTTTTATTATTAAATATTATGCAAAGAATCTCCTATTTAATTTTATACCCCTAATAAAGAGAAACATTCATTAAATGCTTAATTTTAAGCATTTAATGTAAAAGAATTTGAAAAATTATAAATTTCATATATATCAATTTTTGAATATAATTAATTAAAATTATTATTATTATCATTAAAATTAGAAATATCAATATTAAAATATTAATGATTATTAAAAATATTATTATTATTATCATATATATTATTATAATTATTTTTATTATTTTTTTAATTTTCAAGATTTTAAATTTTATATATAATATTTTTGTCATTTTTATTAATATTTTCAAATTATTTATTTTGATTATTTTGTAATTAATTTTCGATTAATTTTTCTTCAATACTTCCATATAAAGTATCATTTGTATTTAATGTTTATATTTTTTTATTTTTTTTAGTTAAAATAATTATTATTTGTATTATTATAGTTGTTAAAATTATAGAAAAGTTAAAAATTTTTAAAATCTATGTTTTTTCGTTTAATATTTCCACTACAAAAGTCATTAAAATATTCGATAAAAGATTTATTATATAATTTACAAGTAATGTTTTTGAAAAGTTAGCATTATAATTTATAAATATTATTTATTAAAAAAAACTCATCACCCATATTAAACCTTTTTTTAAAAAACAAAATATTAAAAAATTAATATTTAAATCTTTGTACATTAAAGTATATAATATATTAAAGTTAGTATTGCTATTTCGTCTGAATATAATATTATTAAAATATTTTAAGCTGAATTTATTAAAGATAATATTGAAAGCAAAAAATGTGATAGTGTTTATTATAAACAAGATATTTTTTTTTTTTATTTTTATTTAAATGCTAAAGCTACAAACGATAGTAAGTTAATAGTAATAGGTAAATATACTATTATATTTATTATTATTAAAAATAAAAATTATTCATTTTGAGGATGATAACTATTACTAAATATAGGCATTTATTATTAATTTTATTATTTTTTTATTAATTTTTGTGAAAGTAAAAAAAAAAAATTAAAAAAATCTATTTTTATATTTTTGTTATGTTTTTTTTTCAATTAACTTTGATATTAAAATTTAAAAAAATACATTTTACATATACCCCGCTACTAAAAAATGTATATAAAAATAGATTAAAAATAAAAAAATTAATTAATATTTTTTTTCTTAGGTCAACTAAGATATTTAATATGCTTTTTATTTTTCTAAAAAATTTTTATAATTCCTTTTTCTTAAATTTTTCAGGATTAAAAAGTTATGAAAATAAGTCTGAAATAAATATAATTATAAAAAGTAAAAAATTATTTAATTAAATTTTATTTTTTAATTTTCATAATTAAATGATTATCAAAATTATAATTTTATTATTTTATTTTTTAAAAAATAAATATAAAATATTATTTAATTAATTATATCTTAAACCAAATTTAAAATAAATATATATTAAAAATCTTTTGTTTATTTATATATTCCCATTTTATTTATAAAAATACTTAAAAACCTATTCAAAATGCAAATACAATATAATTTTGGTGTTATTATCGATTTTAAAAAATAACTTTTTTTTTTCATAAAAAAGTGAAATTAATATAAATATAATATATTAACTTTATATAATGGAATTAAAATTAACAAAATAATCATAATTAATAAAAGCATAAAAATACAAAAATTAACATAAATAAAAATTTTGATTAATGAAAATAAAAATTAAACAATATACGAAAAAATTATGGATATTTTGGGAAATATTTATTTGTAATTTTCTATATTTATAAAAATATATGGGAATTTATTTTCTTTTATTTCAATTTTTAATAATGAAAAATTTTTGGGTATATAAATATGATCAAATTATATTTTTAAGATAAAAAAGCTATAAAAAATTAACTATTATTATTACTTCTAAAACACATAGATGAAAATAATAATTTTTTTAAAAAAAGTAAAAATAAAATATTTAAAATTAAAATAAAAATTCATTTTTATATTGTAAATTGGTATCTATTTTTATAAAATTTTATATATTTAAGCTTATTTTGAAGTTAAAAATAGGAAAAGTATTTAATTATAAATTATGTAGGTATATAATCTTTTAATGATTATTTTTGTTTAAATGCTTAATGGTATAAGAAAGATAATATAAAAAAATATTTATATAGATATATAGATATATATATATTTATATATATATATATATATATATATATAATTTATTTATTTTTTAAAATATAATTCTTACTATATTCTTTAATTTATATATATAATTCTTTTAATTTCTTTTTCATTATTATTTACATAATGTTTTAAAATAATTAATTATTAATTTTAATTTTTTATTTCATTAATCAAAAATCTGCTTTATATTTAATATTAGTATAAAATATTTTTAATATTATTAGAATTATTAATATATAATTATTATTATAAAATAAATATATATATTTTACCTTTAATACTAACTAAAAGCTAAATATATTTTACATTAATAACAAAAAATGAAGAGATTAGTTAATTATTTTTAATTTTCAAGAAATGTAAAGCTATAAAAATTTAGTAATATATTAGTCAATTTAAAATAAGAAAGTAAATAAGAAATTAAATAGACATAAAATTTAGGCGATAATAGTTAAATATCCGAAGTGGTACATATCATATTAAATATTAATAAATTATATATTTTAAAAAGGCTAATCAATTTTAAAATACAAAAACTATGTAAATGATTGAATAAATATTAAATTAGTTTTAAAAAAAAGGTTATTTTTGAAATTAAATAAAAATAAAAATTAATATAAATAAAGGATTAAGTAT